AGGCGCCGTCTGTGGCAGGGAACGGCCTCGCGATGGAAGGTCCCCGCATACACACTCACACACACACTCACACACGTTTTGTCCGCGGTCTTTCCTTCGGAGAGCATCATGTCCACGCACGGGAGCGGCACGTCGGAGCGTGGTTAGTTAGGACGCACCCGAGCTGTTTCAAATGCATTACGCCAGCGGTAACATTTCTGAAGTTTTATATGGCTCAAGTCGGAGATGATGTGTGTTCTTCGTACGCCTTCACCTCTGGCACCTCTTAGTATTTGGCTTGTTCGGAATGACTCAAATAACGTTGTTTGAAGCTTTTAAGCAAACCTCTAGCCTCATGCTGAATTACAGCATCAGTAAAAGCGTATGAATTCTACTCACCAATACCTTGTGAGTACTTTGTGAGCAGGCTCAAAATTAAAAATCTCCAAAATTAACAGACTGCATTCCTCTGCGTAGCATCTTTCTAAATCTAAAACCATTTTCTTAATAATTTGTGTTTTAAATCACTCTCACTTTTCATTAACCTTGTTGCGCAGCTACAGAACCACTGATCACAGGAGTTCAGTAACACTAAATATATTTCAGAACAAACAAGTTGGATTCAGTACAAATAATATGTGGCTAGCTATTCTACCTGGAAAAGCTCATTTGTCGGCAATTAGTAATTTGTGGCATGTAATTCGGTCCTTCTGACTGAGCCAGCCTGCTCCTTTTCTCAGCTAGGAACACGCTAGTGAAATATCAGAGTCTACACATGAAGATTATTCTGACAGTAACTGGTTTCTACTTTGCCATAAGGCTGGCATCAAACTGTCCAGTGGAAAAAAAAAAAAAAAAAAACAGTACCAAAGCCAGCACCAGAAAGTAGTGCTTACCAGCCTTATTGTTAATAAGCCTTTCACATAGTCCAGAATGAAAAACCTTCATCTGAGTACCAGCAAGGTATGTATATTTGATGTTCTTCTAAAATAGTTCCCCCTCTGAGAGGAAAAGTATTAGCTTACATTCTGATAAAGATTCATACTACTACTACACTTCAAGTAACTGATAGTTTTCTGAAATTTTATTATTTCCTTACCAATCAGATTTTTGTTTTTCTTAATTCTACATCTGTACATAATAAATGAATTAAAAAGTTACTCCGCTTAGTTTTTAGTTGTATGTTTTGTGTTGCTTCAACAAAAATACATGAACAGTTCAGGAATATAAAAAGTGGACACCGAAAGAACATTTACAGAGATGCTTGACTTTTAGAACATGTTGGTCAAAGGATGTTCAAAAAAGATGAAGAAATACATGTAATTCTCTACAGGTGAGAGGCAAACAATAACAGTTTCACGAGAATTACTGATGAACTGTTCAGCTAGAATATGATAACTGGTACTTCCTAGCCCTTTAGCACAGCCTGTCTTTGAGTGAACACAAATACAGGCCTACATCAGGAGTTAGCCCTTTTTTTCCAGGAGATTGTTAGAAGTCACTTTCTGAGGAAACTTTGGTATTTCTGTTTGCATAATCTGTAGTTTGAGTCATACTCTTTTTATCTTTAAAATGTACTGAAGTCTGAATAAAGGAGAAGACATATAACGAGTTTCTGAATGCATAAATTCCTTTATTGAAAATATTGTGATAGCACTGCATTACATATATTCAATATTCATAGTTTCAAGGGTCACAGAATTTTGATTGAACAACACTGTTTTGAATATAGAACACAGCGTTTAGATATCCTCTGACAAATATAATATAATGGAATAAGGTGTGGGTAACAACAGTGAAATGTATGTAAAATGTGAGCTTGGTGGTAGTGTTTTCTTTCTTTTTTTCTTTTTTTTTCGAGCTAGTTAAGTGGCGTGCCACCAGTAGAAAGAGCAAACAGTATTAGGTATTCCTGGTATCTTCAAAGCATTACGCTATTAGCAACTTCCACAATATTTTACAGCACTGCCAATAAGAACTGTATTCATGGCTGTACCAGACCACCTGGAAGAAAAGTGTGGAAAGCCTACGTGCAGCGTGATACAGACTTACTGTATAGCATTGCCTTTTAAACTGTGAAATTTCTGTGCAGAATTAAGATTTGTTGTTGTTCTTAGAAGAAAACTGCTCATCTTGTTGACTATTTTTGGATATATTAAAAAGGGGAAAAGCAGTTACTAAATTGAGTTGTATTACTCAATTACTATTCCAAAATTAGGCAGTACTGTTTAATGCATGGAAGCACATTGCCATTTCTATAACCTGCCTTTTTCAGGACAATGATACTCTTGGCTTTAAGGGCAGGACAAAACATCCTAGTGTTGCTACAAAGTCTATGGTGGCAGTCTTGGAATTGTTTAAATATTTTTTTTTTAAATTATAGCTTTACTGCAAAGCAGAATTCTTTAGAAAATAAGCCTCAGTTACATTTTTCCCTGGTTGCTGAAAATTTCACAGCACTGACCTGCTTAGAGTTCAGCCTAGCTTTATAACATGACATCTTCTTAGTGTTGAAGAGAAGAAGGGGAAAAGTGACAAATATTTCACAAAAAAACCCCAAAATACATAGTTGCCTGTCCTAAAGCAGCCTGTTGCTTCAAGTCCTTCTCAGGAAGAAAATAATTTATTAATTATTACAGAAGCAGGTATTACACCACAATGACCCGGACGGTTAAGGAAATAACACTCCTCTCTATCTCCAGATCATATTTTCCCCTTAACAAAAAAATATATCCTTCAAATTGAAAAGTGCTCATAAAAGCACAAGGGGTGGTTTATTTTGAGTTGCTTGGTGGCAATGCAGAGAACCGATCTCTTCTTAGAAAGGCCTTTACTAAGTGCCCTCAACCACAACCAGGGCAGCTGCTTAGCGTGTGCTGTCCCCGTTCTGCTGAGTGCCGGCTGCTTGCCCAGCACCTCCGAGCGCTGCCAAAGGAACGGGCAACAGCGCCATTAGGAAGCACTAACCCCCTTTTCCCTCATCTCAGAGAAAACCAGAATTATGCACTCAAGTGTTTCTGACAGAAAACAAACCCTCTGATTAGGGCAAAGTGAAAAGCAAATCTCATTTGCAAAATAAAAATATAAAAATTAACTTCAGAAATCAAATAAATTGATTCGGAAAAAAATGCCAATGCATAAGAAACCTACCTGAATAACAATTGTTTATCAAATCGATACTTGAAAACCTAACAGAAAAACTCAGGCATTACAAAAAAAAAAAAAAAAGCTATACAATAACAATAAATAAAAAGACCTTAAAAACATGTTCCCTTAAGTGCTGTGTACACCTTCAGATTTATTTCCATGGCAAACAGCATGCTGTAGATTTTGGTAACGCAACCTTTTATTTTTGGTTAGCATTTATATTTTGAACATAAATATACATGGAATGTACTAGATAGTTACAGTTTTCCCACAGTATCTTTTTCACAGTTACAGGAAAAGTTTTCACCTCATACACCGTGAATGTTTTCATAAGCATCGTATCGTCGATAGAGACGTGTGAGAGGAGGAAGTAAAAAACACCTCAAATGGATATTTACTGTCCTGTCTCTTACTGCCTCTCAAAACCAGATTTTCTTTTGTTTGGCGTAGTCATGCTCCAGTACAATTTGAGGAAAAAAAGCGTGTAACATTGTGAGGCAGCCTGCACCTTCTTTTCAGCTCTTAAGTGCCTAATGGATCCAGTCCTTAAGGCAGTTAGTATTTCATTCAAATGTCCATACTTCCACATCTTGTATTATGAAATCTTCTTTCTTAGATAAGATGTCATTATTGAAGGTGCTGCAGGAATTGCTTCGCCCATGATACAAATCTGCATCTAACCATAAGCCAAATCGGCCACTAAAAAGGAAATACACAGAGAATTTTAAGTTTAGATTCAACAGTTAAATCCATGTCCAATCTTTCTAATTACTCAGGCTGACAGGATAATTAGTCATTGTACGTTCTTTGTTAGACTTTCCAAAAAAAAAAAACCAAACAAAAAAAACCCTCCCCTCTCCCCTAGCCCAAACCACTGGGAACAAGCAGACTGGAAGCTTCCGAAACAACCCAAGGGGCAATGTGGAAAGATTCGGAGAATTCTGAGAAGCGCTTAGGCTGCATGTGATGGCACTTGCAAGGGGGCCTCCTTGCTTTGATTTATACCACTAGAGTGAAACCTCACAGGCTGGAGCGTGTGCCCATGCCACTCGGTTACCAGCAAAGCCAGATCTGGCTGCTGCCAGCTTGTGGTCTCCACTGCCCTGAAATCAGCCCTTGATTTCAGACCCACTCTCCTTTAAAATTTAGGGCCTGATTAAGCACTGCCTGTATCATTGTTTTGCACAACAGTGGAATAATGACAGTTCAATAAAGACCATGGGGGAAACACTAAAAGCTGACAGCAAAACTGCCATTAGAGATCATCTTCCACTTGAGCAACTTCTTAAACAATAACCCAAACAACCCATAAACATCTGTTTCCCCTTTTTTTTTCCCCCCCCACAAAAAAAAAAAAAAAAAAAAAAAAAAAAAAGACTCTCCCCAACATCAGTTACTCTCATTAGGCCTTAGAAATTGCCATGGGTTTGTAACAGTAGTAAGCACTTTACTGAAGGTCAGCTACATGATTTCAAACCAAACACTCACCCTCCACCTCCAAGTTCCAGAGAGCTCATGTCTCCGTTGATGAAGTAGGTGTTCTCACCACTCCATTTAAATACCTGACGGGGAAAGAAAAATATTGTGTGTGGGGGGGGGGTGTGGGTGTGTGCGTGTATATATATATATATTTATATATATAATATGATATATATTTAAACACATACATATATATATTTGATTGTGTGACTGTGAGGAGTACTACTACCTCCTTAGGGGATACTTTTGGATGCTTTTTTTTTGAAAGGGAAAGATCATGTACTCAATACTGACAGATAGGAGGGCTGTCTTTCAACAAGGGGCATTTCAATGGCACTCTTATCTCCGCTTTATTGTCACTGTGATCCTAAGCACCTGCGAAGTTGAACCTTACTCCTGATATCCATCACTACTTACCAAGATTAATTTTTGACAGTCCATTCACTACTACTATGCCCTCCCCACCTCAATCTCCTTAAAACCTCTACACCCTCTCAAACTAAGCATGCCAAACAATAAAACAACTTTTGCTTAAAGTTTCACTGAAACAATGAGGTAACTCATCAATAAATCATCAAACCTTCCAAACTTAAATACACAGTCTTTGTATATTTCCCCCATAGATGAACTGATAGAACTGAAATCGAAAAATCTCATCTGAGAAAGACCACATGACTTACCTTGAAATTTGGACTGAATGTGTAGAGGAATGTTTCACCTGTGCCATAGTAGTGATCACTAAACCTGAAAGGATGTGTAGCATATGCTCCAAATATCTGTCAGAGTAAAATGATTAAGCTATTTTGAGGACAACACAAAATTTAAAAGGAATAAACTTTCAACATACTTTCTGAAGAATAACGGTGTCAGTGTTTCATACTAAGAGAACTAATAAGTGAAGTGTATCAGATTAGCACGTGTCCCTGCAAAAATTTTGTATCCTTTTAAGTTTAAAAGCCTCATGAGAGCAGAAATGAGGCCTCCAGGAGCTACTAGAGTACTACACCTTCGCAGAGCATATTTGTAACAGCTTAATTGAGGAAGTTATTTTGGTGGACACTATTAGGAGGCGCATTCATTACTATTGTGAAACTGTGGGAGTTCTATCTGCTAGTTGTCATATGCTTTCTTGCCAGTCAGTTTAGTTTAAGCAACAGGGAGCACAGAAGAGAACAAAACCAAACAAATCAAAAACAAACTTAGCACTTCACAACACTCAGTTTCTTAAATGATGCCCTTTCAGGGCAACCCCCGCCAAGCCAGTGCTCCTTACCTGGTTGTCCATATCCTTGATGACCAGGAGAACTGGACTGTCAAGCGCTGCCGATTTACGGTACAGAGTCTTGAGGCTGGTCCCATGCTCCAGGGTGCTGTACGCCAGCCGCCATGGATAGCCCTGCACTCTCGCAGGCAAGCGCGGGGCAAGCTAGGCCAAAAACAGGCGCATGTAAACACAACCAGTCAGCAGGCCATGGGTGGCAGCCTACACACTGTTCCCTTTCCCACAGCAGCTTCTGAGCCAAAAAAGTGACAGTTAGTGGCTCAGCACCTCCACTGTCTGCACACGGCTGTGTACTCTGAACCCTATCGACTGCATTTGCGTCATCTGGAAAAGATTTTGGAACTGGGACCCCTTCTCCTAGCACTGAAAGAGAGGATGGTTCTCAACATCACTACACAGACTCTCCAGAGCTGCAAATCTAAAAATAAATGTTTCAAATAAGCAAGTGTTAAAAAAACAGAATCTTTCACAAAGGCAGTCCAACAAACTAAGCATTTTCCAAGCTGCGAGAAGCGCCAGTGGCCCCCCAGAAGCAGGTTGTTCACACTTGGCTCGCAGAGCACAAGAGCAAACAAGGAAAATTCATTTTTTTCTAGCCATACCTGCTCTATGTGCATGTTCTCCAGGAGAGCACTGTGGTGCTTTAGGACAGGTAAGGTATCATCGTCATCATCCTCACAATAACTGCAAACGCTCTTTCGTCTTTTTGCTTCTTCTACGGTAATGATCTGTGGAAAGAGAAACAGACACTGACCTAAAGCACGGCTCTCATTTTGTCAATCCTCTACAGAGGAAAAAGAACTATCAGGCATAGGCAGCCTGAACTGAATACAGTTACATTTTCAAATAGCAAGGTGTCTTTGAGATAGCACAGGCAGTGTGGTGAGAATTGCTTCACATCCTAGTGACTTCTAACACAAAAACTTCCTCATTTTCCTTCATGCAGCAAGTTGAGTATACTAATTACTTTCTTAGCTGCTAATGAGTAAGAATATGAACGACTTTAAAATTTCACCTCACATTTTTATTAAGATGGCAGGGTTTTTTTGTTTTTATTTACTCACATGAACATATTTTTGTGTATACAAGCTGGAACAAAAGCCATATATGAAAAAGCTAAAAGAAGCGAATCAATTTGAACAAGTATTTCGAAGTTTTATCATGTAAAAAAGCTATTGCGTGAGATATTCAGCATGCAGTTTACACCTGCAAGTTCTTTAAAGTACTCATTTTGAGAAGAGTAAAGGTATTTATAGAATATATAATCAGCTGAGAATGATGGAGCAGCTCTTTGGAGACTTGGAGACATTTTAAAAGGAAAAAAAGATTTATAAAGCACTGTTTTAAAATAATGTTTTAAAAGATGCATCCATGTAAATATTTTTAATTTAGATTGGAATTTAATTATTATAAAACAGAGTACAAAGTTCTCTCAAGCAATTACAGGTGGACACACCACCTTTTCCAGCAACGCTATAAACAATGAGAATGCGAGTCCCCACATTGAATGCTTTTCTACCGAAGGGTCTGCAGCCTACGACCTGGTAACAAGAATCAGGGGATAAATTGGGAACCTCATGCTGTTACGAGCAGGAAGCAGGAGCCAAAACACCTCCTGCCCGGCCCCTTGAGATGGGAGCTCCCACGCTGCAGCGTTCCTGGCGCTCATCGGCCAAGCTGGCAGCGCAGCAGGATTTCACCGTGGGCTCCGCGTCACCAGGGCAAACAGCGAGCCTGAGCCTCGAGAGTTCAGAGGGATGGGGCTGATGAGAAAGAAAAGGGAAGCCAAGGCGCCCAGCTACAAAACACCTGGAAAACGTTAAACCACAAGCACGTTACCACAAGGGTCTTATCGAGGACAAGAACCTCGGCACGTTGCTGCAGAGCATCCTGCCCCACGCCACCTCCATTCCTACAGACACAGCTTCACAACACTGCCATGGTGTAGAGAGGAAAAGCTTTACATAATCACACACACCTTCATATCACTGCTCAAACCCGGAGAAACTGCCACCAGTCCAGGCAGCTGCCAAGGAGCGCAGGGAGCTCCCACAAACCTGCTCTGCAGGCAAAGCAAAGCAAAGTCACTGCAGAGATTCCAGGGGCGGACTCGGCCACCACACAGCACAGAAAGAGCCTTCCATGAACACCCGGAGCTGCGAGGAGGTCACTGTGCAAACAACAGAGCCCCAGTGGTGTCGGTCGCACCGAGCACCTGCAGGCCGGGAGCAACGTGCGCACTGCAGGCGCCTACGTGCAGCCCGTGTTCGCCTGCAGAAACGGACCGGGCGGCGGGGGGACCTCGCTCAGGTGCTCACAGTGCGGGCAGAGACACAGGGCAGGGCCACAGGGCAAAACCCAACCCGCAGAATTACTGTTAAATGGCCCCTGAATCCAGGCACTACGGGTATTACTGCCCAGCTGCACCCTGTCCCTCCAGCACAAGCTAATCCAGGCTCCATGGGACCCAGTCAAGGGCCACCTGAGACAGGAGGTAATCTTGCACTAGAAAAATGTTCATAATGCCAATTTTAGGGAAGATTACACTGTAGTATTCAGGCCATTCAAAACTGCTAAAAAGGACATGGGTTCTATGCTTTCATTGTTATTATTTTTCCACCTCTTGAGTGATTTCACCTTCCTCTCTCAGATCATTATTTTAATTTTTTAATTGATTGAGCATCTTTTTTTTGAGCTTCAATCACAAGCTTTTTACTTTTTTTAATTGATTGAGCATCTTTTTTTGAGCTTCAATCAATTTTTTTACCCTCCCTTCAAGACTATTCTCTAGGCTTCCCAGGCAGAAAGAAAATAGGTATCACAGTAAATCAACCAGTAAAGTTATCTGAAGCAAAATGTAACTAAGTTTACAGACCAGACAACTACAGAAAATCTACTAAAAACAATCACAGATTGCAAATCACTTCCAAATTGCCCTTATTCACTACCTAAAAAGAAGAAAGTTAACTAATTTTCTTCACTGCATGAGTATCAGTTCAGTCTAAACTTGATCAATGCAGCTCTTTTCATTATAACTGAAGCACGTATTTGAAACTGCTTCAGATCCAAAAACTGCAGCAAAAGGATCTGTAAGGCAAGATATCTACACAGGCAAAAGCAAAAACAAATGAAAAGATCAGCTATGACAGAAACCAGAGTTAAGAAACCTTGTTAAGATTTTTAAGTACCTACAGAAATGAAGCAGCAGGCACCTGCGGAAGAAATACTCGATGAAAATTAAAGTTACCGCAGAGTTCCTTTTTCAGTAGGAAACGCTGTATCAGGTACATCCTGTTCAAACCGGGACACAGTTGAACATACCTGCACACAAGGCTCCTGGCCAGGTCTGGCACAGTAAAGAATACGAATATTCAGAGGCACTGGTCGCCCTTTCATTGCCTACCAGCTTGCTCTGCAGTATCTGCTACTCCTTTGCTCTCGTGGCAAGAGCTCTTGCCCACAAGCAAGACTAGCAGTTACTGTCTGCAACTAGCTTTGATAAAATGGCTTATTTATGTCCTTACAATCATACTTTCTGTTTCCCCAGAGAAGAGAATGAAACTTTCGGAAGTGATCATGCCCAAATTTGGCCTTTCTACTGATATTTCCTTGCAGACCTACTTTCAGTTTGTAATGCCAGAATACCTTTATAAGCATTTCCAGCTGCTACTTTTTCAAACACAGATTTAAATAAAGCAATGAGAGACAAGTTCACCATGTGGCCAGCTCTCTCCCACCTCTATTCTTCAGATCACTGTCCCTCCTATCTCATTTTATGATTAAGAAAATGACATGCAAATAACGACTGAAGAGTGAAGGCTAGTGTAGTATATGGCTGCAGTCAGTTCTGCAAGAAATGAGGAATGGCAACATTTTTTTCATTCTGCAGTTCATATAGCACCAACATGCAAAAACTGCAAAACTGTAAAAATAAAAGCTATCTAGGATTAGAGATTTTGTGTCTATGTTTCAAATGACAAGCCCCACTCTCAGTCTTGAGCAGGTTGACATATTTCAAAATATTTCAAACTAAAATTGCTTAAAACACTGACAGTGGAATTCTGCAAACAAGTATGTGTTTAAGACAAATAATCAGATCTGTTTTAAAATAGCCATCAAACTATTTTCTATTTGAGGATTTATTTTTAGTTTGTCTGCATATCTTCAGTGCAGCAAATACACAATAATTCAGAAATATATTAATAAAGTCATATGCATGCAGGTTGGATTATTTTCCTTAGAAGCAAGGCTTTATATATACACACGAGAGACAGAGACATAAACAGAGACACACAAGTAGCTGAAACAGACTGCAAAAGCCCCATAATGCATAAGTAATATATGATATAAAATATCCATCTTAGCAACCAATAGTAATAGCAGTGCTGTGCGCACCTGAGAAGCAGTGGCCTGGCACAGCACCACAGACCAACATATGCAACCAGCACACAGGAGTCTGTTCTAGTGTTTATGTGCACACAGGTTTACACACAGCAAGTTTTACTACTAACATGTAAGTATGAGACAACTTCTGCAATACTGACAACATGCACCTTTTCCAAAAGGCTAACATTGCACAACCAGTATATTTACATGACGTACACTGGCTGCAGGCCAGAAAGCTGCCAGTTGTTTGCCTGCCCTTTCTGGGAGAAGGAAGAAGGGAATACTACAGGCAAATGAGCACAGTTGTGAGGGCTGCAAGCCTCAACTTCTGCATAAAGCGGAGCACAGTTGTGAGGGCTGCAAGCCTCGAGAGCACTTCTGCATAAAGCAGCAAGCGCTGTAAACATCGTACAAAACATCAGAAGCTCAGGTTCCTGACAAAGGGTATGTACTTGATGCAACACGCTCAAAATAATGACAAAATGCACTCACCTCCCAGCTTTTAGTAGTTGGCTCACTGAAGAAGTTGTCTATCATATCAAGTTCCTCCTTCTCTACTACAACAAAACCTTGCTCTTTGGCATCTTTCCCATATATTTCTGGTGACCACTGAACAAAAAATGTGTATAAATGATCTACCCTGTAGAAAGAAGAGAAGGAAGGGACAATTTTTCAGTGATACAAGAGCACAGCATTGCCACACACTGCAGAGATTTTGCTCAGTAACTAGGAGGAGACAACTGCACAGAACACAGGCTGCCCACAAACCACAGAGGGCAACACAGAGCCCCTTCCATAAGGCACCTCAAGGCTCTCTGCTTTTCTTCCTCACAGTGTTTTCCCCTTCCCTATGCATATTCTGTGTTGCTCTAATTATAAGTGACTTGTTCAGTCACATTTGTTAAGGAGCAGTCTCAACAAGTCTGATCACCTGCTATTAGACTGTGCTCACAAAGACCAACTCTGAAGAAGGGGGAAAAAAAAAAGGAAAATCTGCATTTTAATCATTTAGTTTGACCTCCTGCATAAAACAAGCCACCAGATATCACTAATAAAAGATACACCATAGAATCATAGAATGCTTAAGGTTGGAAGGGACCTCTAGAGGCCATCTAGTCCAACCCCCCTGCACACGCAGGGTCACCTAGAGCACGTGGCACAGGACTGCATCCAAGCGGGTTTGGAAGATCTCCAGAGAGGGAGACTCCACAAGCGCTCTTGGCTTACAGTTCTTTCTGCTATACTTGGTTGAAATCAAGCAAAGAATAATAAAAATCAATCAACTATTTCAGAATCTTATATTTATCCTATTTGAATTCCACTGAACGGAGTTCTTTGGGGAAAACCAAAACCTTCAGGCATAAGCCTAAAATTGTTCCCATGGACAACTATGATCTAAATTCTCTGTGTACAGGCCAACAAAAGGCACCTCCGTAAATCCCTGGTTTTCATAGTCCCCATTCAGATAACACCCAGATAGTAAGAGGCATTTCATTTGTATGTATTCTGTTCTTTCTATCTTTCATTTCCACGTTTCTAGATGCCCTCTAAAACATATTATTCATTAATATTAACCACAGGCACAGGCTAATTTTCATCTTGGTATCTTTGTGAAAATAATACGTTACTGACAGTTGCAATAGTGGTAACAGCAGCACTGTATGCATTCCAATAAAAGCAGTCAGCACTAAATCACACTTTAGGAAGAGATACTATTTGACAACATCCTTAAATAAAAATGACATAATTTCTAAAGAAGGAATTTGTTTAGCATTTTTCTTTAAACTCAACATACATACTAAATATTAAACACATGCAATTTCCAACAGAATATGCTAGTGAGCCCCCTGTACACGAACCTGAATTGCTGGCAAAAGTCAAATCCTAATTAAAGGGAGCAGGTAGAAAGGCTGTAAGTACTTATGACACTGGAGAAAGATCCAGTTATTCACCAGAAAAAAAATGTATGGCAATTCTTTGATAAATACAAAATAAGTAAAATCTTACAGACTCCTAGGAGGAATTTTCCCCCTGTATTTCAAGTTACTTGGACTTAGAGCATATGCACAAGTAATCTTAAAACACTATGTTAGATTCTGGGTCCCTCCCGTCTAGAGTCTTTCCCCGTTTTTGCCCTGCACTCCACTGATACAGGCTGGAGCGTTGTCCCTCCTAACTGCTTATCTTGAACAGTCCCCAAACCAGTGCCTGCTCAGGGCAGCTGGATTAGCTCCCACTCAAAGCGAGAAACTGGGGGTGGCACAGGGAGCTGACCCACTTTGGACACAAGAAATTTGGCTCCAATTTCCACCACCCTCAGAAAGAATTAAAGAATTGACTTTGTAGAATCGTGGAAATGTCCTCTTACCCATGAAAAAGGAACAAATTAGCATTACCATTACTTCCTCTCTTTGTGCATATTCACAAACGCTTCTGTGGGGCACCGCTGAATTTAAGCTTCTGTTATCAAACAAAAGCAGCACCAGAAAAACCTTAACACACAATACCAAGACGACTGCAGTACCATAGTCACATTCCAGTGAGCACTGCCTAACTGTGGCTCCCAAAGTGTCAACAGCCCCTCTCCATCCAGAACAACCAGGGTAAATATAAACACTGACAGTGTGTTTTTTGCACACACATGTGTTGTTTGCACACACAAAACAAGGCAGAAGTGAGCAAGAGATCAGCCTGCACGATAGCTGACAGTTTTAGCCAACAACGGCCTAGAAGGGGCTAAAACCGGGGTGTCAATCCCATTTTCAGCAGTTCCCTCCTTCTCTGCGAAGGATCATGGGACCTCCAGATCACAAGTTTTCGGAAAAAGCTTTTGAAAGTCACATCATCTCATTTTATTCTAGATTTTTTTTTGTAAGACATAATTTGCCCTTGATAAATTTACACTAGTTGTTCCCAACCACTCCTTGTTGTCCTTGTGCGTGGAAAGGCTTCCCACAGATCCTTCTGCAGCCCCTGAAGGCAGCTGCAGATTTTGCTTTCCAGTCAGTGAAGATCCCACCCAAATGTTTGCAGCCTTTCAGGGGCTGGAAGCAGCCCTGCAACAGCAGCCAGCTTCCTCAACACACTCAGTTTCCTGCCCCACCAACTTGTGCATGTTCAGCTTGCTTCAGGAATCCATAACTAATATTCCCTTCCTGAGGGCAGAAGTGAAACAAATACAGACACAGCAGAGAAGAAGCACCAGGATAAACTGAAAAACAGGTTACTGCAGAAATAATGATTCTGAAAGCACGCTATTTCTAATATAATTTTAACATTACACTACAGTGATATTTCTAAATTACTGAATTGCAAAAATTGGAGATAATTTTTAAAACAAAAACAGTGCTGGAGAAACTCCATCAAAAATCCTAATAACAAAAACAGGAGAAAATACATAAATAGTCAAGTTAGAAGGGAAGTAAATGTGGTTACAAATATGTTCATAGCAACACACGGAGGGCACGAAACTTTTTTTTTTTTTCCTCTCTAAAACAGGTCAGGAGGCAAAAAGAGCTGTTCAGGTTATAGTTACAAGAGGAACTGAATCCTGGTAACAGTTATAACCACATCTAGGGACCGGAAGCCGGAAAAAAATAAAGGGCACTGAAAAAGACTGTTTTTGAACAACAAGAGCCGTCACTAATAAAACATATTAGACAACTGTGAATGATGTTTTTCTTATAAAACACATGCTTTCAATCGGAAGGTCCCACACTGGCCTCACCACAATCATTTCTCTTGGCACGGCAACACCAGGCAGCCCCGCGGCGGGAGAGGCACCCGGGCTTTCTGTACCTGAGTGACATCTGGCCCCGCCGGCGGGCTGGGGCTGTCCCCGCTCCGCCGGGTCGTGGCGGGCGGCACGGCTGCACCTCACACATGCACAGAGGCTCCAGTTCAACCACGGCTCCTGGCCTGGAAACGGGCATTAATTCAGGACTCCCACGAGTTTTACAGCTTTGGTACAAAGAGATCAAACTAGGTGATAATGGTAATCCTTCACGAATAAGGGCTGCATATAAGGCATCAAGCTACATACGCAAACAGGTGTTCCTCATGTTCTACCTGCGCAGCTTGAGATCCTATTTATCAGGAGCCTCGGAGTACTCGAGAGCAATTCACAATGAGTGTAAATCTAAGCATTGCGCTACTTACCCGATTCCATAAGAGAGTGGGAAAGGGTGGCCTGAGCATCAGGAACACCTGAATTGTCACTGAATTATTGCTCCTTTATGCGCCACTCCACACACAGACGCAGCACATACAGACGGACTCCAGCTACTCATGCTGTAAGTCCTTTCAGACCTCGACAACAACCGCAGTCACCTCCAGCCCACGAGTCACGGGCCAGACACTGCATAACCACAGGCACAACCAAGCAGCGTCCTGCTCTGCACTGCAAAGTGATGAAAGAACCAGAGCAGCATGGAGTGAAAGAGCAGCAAGAGCTCCCCAAGCCAGGCCAACAACCA